TGGAAGTGGGCGTGGCTATAAAAGGGCCACATAAGAGATACTCTTGGTGACAGAAATGTTGTTTTCTTATCAGTTATGTATTCGTTTTGATGGTGTACTACAGTTTTGCAAAATATTACCACTGAGAGAAACTGGATGAAGGGAGTGGCAGATCTCTGTTCATTATTTCTGAAACTGCATGTGAATGTATAATGATCTCAAAATCAAAGCGTTTAGTGGAAAAATAAGGAATGACTGCAGTAAAGAGATGGAGTTAAAGAAGCATAAATGCACTAAACGGCATCCATGATCAAGAGAATGAGTGAGGCCGGGCGCGGTGGCTCACGCCTGTAATCGCAGCACTCTGGGAGGCCGAGGCGGGCGGATCACAACGCCAGGAAATCGAGACCATCCTGGCTCACACGGTGAAATCCCGTCTCTACTGAAAATACAAAAAATTAGCCGGGCGAGGTGGCGGGCGTCTGTAATCTCAGCTACTCGGGAGGCTGAGGCAGGAGAATGGCATGAACCTGGGAGGTGGAGCTTGCAGTGAGCCAAGATTGTGCCACTGCACTCCAGCCAGGGGGACAGAGCGAGACTCCGTCTCAAAAAAAAAAAAAAGAGAGAATGAGTGAAAAAAAGACAAAAATGGAGGGGAAGAAAGAACCAAACTGAGAAAGAGAGAGGGAGAGGAAGAGAAGGAAATAAAATGTGACGGAGCATGAGTATTTAGGAGGAGTCAGGGGACATTGAAAGAGAGGCAGGAGAGGTGGTCGGGGCTGGGGGCAGCCGCAGGCCCAGGCCTCCCTCCCTACTGCCCTGTGTCTAGCCTTGGCTCTCTCCTCTCCAAACCGCTCCCTGGGCCCCTTCTACCCTTTCACCAGCAAACCTGTTTCTCAAGCCCCCTTAGAAGCCTTCCCTGCTCCCCCAGGGCAGCCCGCCTTCACCCCTGCGGCTCCTGTGCCTTTCCCTAAGGGCACGCAGCACCAATGCTGGAGTCTCTCCTGGCAGCTCTGCCGCCCCCAGGCAGTGGTCTGAGAGCTCCTCGGGCGGGCGGCAGGCCTGGTGTGTAAGATCCGCCCCCTCCCCCGTCTAACTCAGGTGCCTGCACAAGGTCTGGCCTGTGATAGGAGCTCCCTACTCATTTTCTGAGGGAGTTCATCTGGAGAAGGACACTTCACAAAGCAACCTGACTTGGCTGGGGAAGCTTTCATACTGTGACATCCAGTGGGCCAGTTCCTGGGGCCTGGCACCCATGGCTTCTGCTGGCACTGCTGGACAATCCCCCTTGCTGGAGCAGAAGCAGCACCTCCCACTGCCCCGGGCTCTAGGCACCAAGTCCTCAGCAGTGCCCTCCTCCCTGGGGTTAGAGGAGTGGGGGGCACACTCTAAGGGGGAGATACAGGTTTGGTTCCAGGAAGCATCTGAGGTCCTGTTGGTTCTTGCACTGCGCCCCACTCCCATTTTCCTTTCTGAGCAGCAGGAAATAACGTAAGATGATAGCATTGGACCTCCCTGATTGTAAAGTGGGGTGCCTGAAACCTGAGAGAAGGTATAGTGTGGGCAGCACACCCAGTCCCGGACCACCAAGTCAGAGGGGATGAGAATGAGACTCTGAGTTTGCTCTCTCCTTCCCTCCCCAACCCCTCCATTTCTCCCCCACCCTCACCCTTTCCTGCCCCCAAACTCTCTGGCCTTCCTATTGATTGATCCCTGGTGACCAGGAAGTGCCATTGCCACCTGCCAACTGGTCAGATGATCCATGACGTTTGCCCTCAGCTTGCTCTGGTCTGGAACGATAATGGATGTTAACAGTTTAAGCACTAGCCAGGATCTCCAGGGTCACATGTTAAAGCTTTGGCTCTACCATTTAACTTAGCACGGCTCTTGGCAAGCGTTCCCGCCATCCTGGGCCCTGCTGACTAGAATAGCTCCCTTATCAGAATGTCAAGGTAGGAGGAGCTAGATAAGCTGCTGCTGCCCAGGCAGGGCCTTCAGAGGCAGCCGCTCATGCCAGCCCTGGCTGGCAGAACGTCAGAAGGGGAAGCTGTCCACTCTGTTTTAAAACAATTCCAGAGAAGGCCACTCCACAAGTCTTTTTGAAAAATACACTCAGGTATTCTTATTCAAATACCTCACTACATTCCTCTGAACTGGAACTCCCATTCTTCTTGTTTTTTCTTTAGAAAAAAAAAAACCAGAAAGATTTCTCCATGTCTGACAACTATCTTAACAGTTATCTGATGACGGATCCGCTCTTGGAACACACTGCCAGCCCTCAGTGACCTGTCTATAGCTCACACACAGTGAACATTTTCATCCAAAAATAGCCCCTTTGAGCTACCTATGGAGTCCCTGACCCCTGCCTTCTCTCCACCATCCTTCCACCTCCAGCCTAAATGGTCAATCAGTATTGGCTCAGAAAATGCAAGTTTGCTAATATTCTCCTAAACAAAAAGCATAACCCTGCCCCAACGATCACATTCCAAGGTTTTCAAAAATTAATGATTTCTGGCACATGATAGGTGATCAAACGAATGGTTGTTGAACCAGAAAAACAACAACAACAACAATGTAGAAGTGGATGCAGTTTTCAAGTACGTGAAAGCACAGCACACCCGTTTGTGGCTTCGCCCACAGCAGGCAGGAAGAAGCAGGTGATTTGGAGGGCACATGGGAACCAGAGACTGGGCATTCTAGTCATTTCTTCCCTCCGCGGGGGTTTACTTCATCACAGATGACTAGAGCAGCCTTCAGAGTCTCCCAGATTCCTGGACAAGAAACCCAGTCTGGTGCTTGCAGAAAGCCCCAAAGGGATCTTGCTTGGCACCAGGGACAGCGGGGCTGAGGAATGCTGTGACAGAGCCACACACATGTGTCTGCTGGAGCCACAGACAACGAGCTCTGCACTGCTCAGGACATGCCAGCTGACTCCGGTGAAGCCATGGTGGGGAATCCCACTAAGAGCTAACTTCATCCCAGAGAAGACAGCTAAGCTTTGGGGACAGCCCCGGGCAGAGTGAATGTGGCCCAGGTTCTCTTTGACCCCCTCACCCTTGGCTCCTCCTCTAGCTGGACTGCTCCCTGGATGGAGCATGTTCATTTTCTGCTGAATGCAGGCAGACTACTTCAATCCAAATGCTGCGTGTGAGTAATGCCAGCGGTTTCTAGCAGCTTTTGGAGAGGCCAGAAAACAGCTACGCCTGAGTGGCTGGTTCCCTTTCTGTTGGAGAGCTGGGTCTAGAACATTGTTCTGGGGACAATCCTTGTGCTTTGTGGAATGTATAGGCAAATTCTCCATCCTTTCTTTCTCTTTTTCTTTTTGAGATGGGGTCTTGCTATGTTGCCCCAGTTGGTCTTGAACTCTTGGGCTCAAGTAATCCTCTCACCTCAGCCTCCTGAGCCAGCAAGTTCTCTATGTGCTGTTTCTCTTTCAATGGTGGCCCTGCTGCTGCTCTTCCAAGAAACACATACCCTGTTCCCCGGGCCTCCCATTAAAGGCCTCATGCCTCTAGGCAGAATGGTGCCATCTCAGGTGGGCTCCATAGTTTAAAATGCCAGCCAAGCGGACCAAGCTCTTTATGCCAGAGTCCAACCATGGGCCTCTAACTCCCACATCATTCGCTCTGCCCTGTTCATTCCTCAGATTCCAGGAAGCCTGAGGGCCTCATTCAGCCAGATGATGCGATTTACACCTGGCTTTGAGAAAAAGCAGGGACATGGGAAGACCAGAGCAGCTTTCACAATTAGCTTTTGTTAGTGGAAAGACCCTGGATGTAAAGCCAGAGGACAAGAGTTTTGGAGATAACAGTGCTGCTGCCACTTAGTGCTCGGAATCCTGTTACCCTTACTCTCATCTGTAAAACAGAAGAAATAAGCTCTGCCCCACAGGACTGGTGTCAGGATGAACTCATGTAAACGTATCTAGCTCAGCACCTTGGTTTCATAAATATTAGACTTTTCCTCACATGGACAAGTGCTTTGGGAACCAGAAAGCCCGATAAAGCATGGCTTATGAAAACAAGGTATGTTTTCGAGTCATATCTAGGAGAGAATCTCCCTTTATGAGCTGTGCACCTGAGGCAAGTTGCACAGCCTCTCTGGGCTGCTATTTTTCACCTGGAGAATGAGGATGATAATCTCAGCTTATTGAAAGGATTGAAGCAGAGTAAAATGCTCGGAATGTTCCTGTTGATCTTCTGGTGTTTGAAAAGGCTCCTGGAACAGGTTCTGGGCTGGCCTTGCTCACCCTGATGTTTGGGGTAGGCCCTAGAACTTTGGGGGCTGGACCTGAGGACCTCCACAGCCCCCGGGGCAGGAGAGCCCTGCTTGAGGGAAGGCGCAGATAAAACCAGGGGCCAACAGCTCTGCAGGGAGAAGCACTGACTTAAAGAGAAGGGGAGCAATGACAAGGCCGCCCTTCCCTGTTCCCTATCCTCTGTCCCCACAGCCTTGACCCCTGGCCTTTCTGAACCGTTGGAAAGCTGTTTAAAAGGAGATAGGGAGGTATGCAGGAAGTGACTCGGGCAGCGAGAGGGGCAGAAATCACAAGGCCGTGTTTCCAATTTGGCCACACTTAAAAGAGAAAGCAAGATTAGGCTGGGGATCTAAGGCTGAGGGGTGCACCGCCCCCACCCTGGCCCTCCCTGCTCCCACTTGAAGGAAGAGTCCTACCAGGTGAATAATGTCCTCCCCACCCCACCCACTCCTGGCCACTGTTGCCTCTCAAACCACTGCTGGGAGATCTGGGGCACCCCCAGGTAGCCCTGGTCTAGTGCCAGAAGTTAAGGTGTTTATGGCTGGGCTCCCAACGCCCAGGGCAGCCTGCAGCCACGGAGATCTCCAATTTCCTGGCTAAACTTGGGACTTGCCCTAAGCTTTTCCGTATCCCCCCTGGCTACCAATCTAGCAGGTTCCCTGTGAAAGCCTGCTGCCCAGCGATGGACACCTGAGGGTGTCGTCCTGCCCTCCAGAACCCTCGAGCTGGGGGAGAAATGGAGGAGGAAAAGAAGACAACTTACTTGTTGAGATCAGAGCTTCCGAGTCCCACTGATGCTAACTTCTGGGGTGTCCCTTAGCGGCAGTGCAGGGGTGCTCAGGGCTTTTGAGGGGACTCCCCAGCCCCTGCCATGACCCCACGGAGGAGCTGTAGCTGGAACCTCTCCCTGTCGTGGGGTCCTGTGGGCAGAGGTACTTAAGCCATCCTGTTCCTTCACTCGCGGTCCCTTGGGTCACTCCCTTTAGCGAGAGCAGCTGCTGGAGGCAATCTCTCTCTCTCTCCTCTCTCTTTCTCTCTCTGTCTCTCTCTCTCTCTCTCTCTCTCTCTCTCTCTCTCTCTCTCTCTCTCTGTGTGTGTGTGTGTGTGTGTGTCCCCTCCTCCCTCTCCTCTCTCCCTCTGTCCCTGGTACAGATGAATCTCTGGGTAGTAACGCGACTGGAACGGCCACCGGCATTGGCGGCGGGAGACGGGCTGGGGTGGGGCGGGGGCTCCATGTGATCGGGGACGCCTCAGCTTGGTAGGACTGGGAGGGAAGAGGAAGGCGGAGAGAGAGCCCAGCAGGCATTCAGCCCTCGCGTCCCCGCGGCCCCCTGCGCCCTCCCCCGGCTCCCCCTGCACCCGGCTGCACCCCTGCTGCAGGGTGCCAGGGACCGAGACCTGCGCGCGCGCGTGTGAGCGCCCCATGCCTGTGTGTGAGCGCCGCGTGTGCACGCGTGTCCGTGTGTGAGCCCCGTATTTAGTGGGTGCGGTGGAGCAGACAGAAAGAAGGGAGAAACTATTAGGGCAGAAATCTTGGCTCGGAGCCTCGGCGGGGCTGCTCAGTGGCTCTGCGGTGCGCTAAGCTGGCGGTTGGCAGCATTTCGCTGTTTCCCGAGAGGGATGGAGCAGATGGGGGAATTCCTTTGAGAAGGTGGGGGAGCCACAGTCTGGGCACTACATCCCCCGCGCGACGGCTCTGGCTCCCGCAGTGGAGTGAGGGTCCGGGGGCCTGATCCGCCAGCTGCAGGTGGAGTAGGTCCAGGGACAGGACCCAGGCCAGCTGTCCCCGGGCTCGCTGCTCATCCCGGAAGATCTCTCCCTGGCGTGCGGCGGTGGCTGGGCGGCGATGGCTGGAAACGCGCCCTGCACGGACAGGAGGCCGGAGCAGCCCGGAGGGAACGGAGCTCAACCTTGCCCAGGCGTGGGTAGAGTCGGCGTCCTCCGCGCCACCTCCCGGCCCTCGCTTGTGGATTCCTCCCTGCCTTGAGGACAGATGATGACCAGAGTGTATGCTTTAATTCGTGGAAGCCCTAGGAAGGGCAGCTGCCAGGGCAGGCTAAAAGGGAGGGCTGCTGTCTGGGGAGGGCCGGCAGGTGCCTCTGAGGACAGGTCTGTTTAGGGTGGCCCTTCTCATCCTGTAATGTTCCTTCTGGCCCTCTCTGTTACCCAGCCTTTTGGGGTCAACACCCCCCATGCCAGCCCCCTCTCTCAGGGGCACACACAGCTTGGTCAAACGTGGGGTGTCCCCAGCACCTAGCACAAGTGCTAAGTGAATGATGTCTACGACCAGAAAACTGATTTATTACATTGCAATGAGAAAAATGCGTGTCACTAATACTGGAGGGCACCAAGTCCATCCTCTCCTGTAAGCACAGTGACAGGGAAACTTAGTCTCTAATAGTGGCCTGGGGGTCCTCTTGCCTTGGAGACCAGCGTGCAGACAGCCCATTGCCCAGGCACCCTCCCCTGGGACAGAGCACAGAGCCGTCCAGCCCGAGTGGGCCTCCTGGATGCCCCTCTTCTCTCTGTAGAGGGGGTGATAACTAAATGTGGCTGCAACAGGCCCTGACTAACAGAAAGCTCTGTGTCCACCTAGGGGATTCAGCTTGCCTAGGTGCTCACGCACTGCACCATACGCTGCGTGATGTCAGGGCTTAACACTATTGAGGAGAAAGTTCTTAATTCCCTAATTGCCTAGTTCTTGGGAGAGGCTTTGGCTGTGCAGTTCTCAGGTCCAGATAACACACACTATAATCTTCTGCTGAGCCCTGAGGAGGGCTCTGTCCTGGGGCAGCAGTTGCTTTTGGATCAGTTATAAAGACCATGATAGTCCTTCTGCCATTATGGGGTGGGGGTAGGGGGAGCTGGACTGACTTTAAAGCAAAATATAGGGTACTCTGGGAAACACTGCTTTGCAAAGATTCTCTCAGGGATGGGACCTTGGATCAGGAGACAGAAAAATTTGTGTCCAGGTCTCACCTGAGAACTGAAAAATGAGAAATTTGGGGATTCTAGTCCTGACTGATTGTTGCGAACTTAGGGGAGCTTTAGCTTCTCCATGCCCAAGCCTCTCAAAGAGCACGGACAACATTTGAGGATAGAAATGCAATAAAAGAACTACTCAGGGAGCCGTGCAAGGTGCCAAGTGTGTCTTTCATTGTCTGAAAATCGATGAGGCGGCGCTTGAAAGCAACAGAAAATGTGTATGTATTATCGCTGTGAATTAGAGTACAGCCCCACCTCTTCTGTTCCCTTTATCTGCTTCTCTTACCTTCTTTCATCGAGCGGGAGATGGGTTCACAATTAAAGATGTTCTCTTTAGAATATGAGACTTGCAGAAAATTATTTTTTCTCCTATTTATAGAAATTCTATTTGCATTTATGAGGCTGGTAATGTCTCATAAATATTTCCTGTTAGATAAAATATCAATTAATGGAGTTTGTTGAGTTATACTCTGAAATCCCAACTAAATAGCTTCTAAAACAAATATTTTAAACATTTTCTCTCATGTCAGGAGAATTCTTCATACATTCTTTGTGTACGTTAATAAGCTCATCCGTAAACAGCAGATATCAATCAAGTAAGGACATAATATTTTGCATATTTTTTTATAAGTAAGGACGTATTATTTTGCATATTTTAAAAACTGGGTGGCAGTATTATGTTAAATAAGATATCTTATTTACTTACAGATATTTATCAAGTAAGGACATATTATTTTACAAATGTTTTATAAGTAAGGACATATTATTTTGCATATTTTTAAACTGGGTGGCAGTATTATGTTAAATACGTTTATTTATTAGTTAAATAACTAAATAAACTAACTAAATAAATAAACGTATTTAACATAATACTGCCACCCAGTTTTAAAAAACAAAACCAGGCATGGCCAACACTGCCAGATCCACATGGGATCACCTCCTCTTCCCTCAGGAGAGGACCAGCCACCTGAGTTTGGTGTTTCTCTTTCCCATAGCTTTAAAAATGCTAAATGGACACACACACACACACCCCTACACCTACACCTACACATCCTCAGTTAGTGAGTATTAACTGTATGTAAGTATTTTTATGTCCACAAACTCTTGGTTGATAAAGGCCTACTATGTTTGAGACACTTTGATAGGTGCTATGAGAGAGACTAAAAGGTATAATGGTGGGTTTGATCTCAAATGTCTCACATCTAATGGGGAAGGTGGCATATCTGTGAGTAGGGAGGAGTTAGCCTACAAATTAACGTGGGATTTTAATTCCTAGGTGTTAGTTGGGAGCTGGTGTGGAATTGACAGGAATGCTAACACAGCTCGGAGAAGAGAAGCTGGGACTGACTTCTGACCGAAAGGCTACCCAGAGAAGGAAAGCCTGAAGGAATTAGGAAAGGAAGACTAAGGTTTGAATGTGATGAGAGGGAGAGGAGTCACGGAGCTGGGCTGGGAATCAGGGCTTGAGAAGGGAAGGCTCAGGGTGCTCAGGGACCACAGGAAAGGGAAGGGTTGCTGCTGGGGGATCAGAGCAGTAAAGTGGTGATGCCAGTGGCTGTAATTAACGCAGTGCCTACTAGGTGCTGAGCCCTGCTCGGTGCTTCATGTAAGTAATTGCTTGTAATTTTCTTGACAGCCTCGGGAGGGAGGTAGCTTTAGCACCTTTCTCAGGGGAGGAAACAGACTCAGACAAGTCAAGTCCCCTCGCACTGGCAGGAATTTCAGAGCTGCTCTCAGAACCCAGTTTTGTTAGTTTCCAAGATCATACTTCTAATTGTTATGAGATGAGCTTTGTCTCTCCCGAATTCAGATGGTGAAGGCCTGATTCCGAGTGCTTCTGAATGTGACTGTATTTGGAGACAGGGCCTTTAAAGGGGTGATTAAATTAAACTAAGGGGACTGGTGAGGTGGCTCACGCCTGTAATCTCATACTTTGGGAGGCCAAGGCAGGTGGATCACCTGAGATCAGGAGTTTGAGATCAGCCTGGCCAACATGGGGAAACCCCGTCTCTACTAAAAATACAAAAATTAGCCGGGCGTGGCGGTGCATACCTGTAGTCCCAGCTACTCAGGAGTCTGAGGAAGGAGAATCTCTTGAACCTGGGAGGTGGAGGTTGCAGTGAGCCGAGATCGTGCCACTGCACTCCAGCCTGGGCAACAGAGTGAGAGTCCATCTCAAATTAAAAAAAAATAAAAAAAAGAATTAATTAAACTGAGACCATTAGGGTGAGTCCTAATCCAATCTGACTGGTGTCCTTATAAGAAGAGGAATGACCTTGAGAACACTAGGAGAAGGCAGCTGTCTCCAAGCGAAGCAGATAGGCCTCAGGAGAAATCAACTTTGTTGACAACCTTGATCTTGGACTCCTAATTTCCAGGGCTGTGGGAAATCAGTTTCTGTTTGAGCCACCCAGTCGGTGGTGTTTTGTTATGGCAGCCCTAACAAACGAAGATGCTAACCCCGCATCTCTGCCTCTCAGAAGGGCCTCGTACCCCAAGCTGTGGCATCTGGATTTTCTTCTGCATATTGAAAGCAAGTATTAAACATTTCTGAGTTAGGGAGAATGATGAAAATCAGTGTGAAGATTTCCCTGGGGGTGGTCTGTGTATGATTCATTCATTTTTTCATTTCAATGAAGACTTATGGAGCACCTGTTTTGTGACCTCTGCAATTACAGGGACCACGTTTGTCTTGTTCACCTTGGGGTGCCACCTACTCCCAGTGCTAAGCACCGCATCTGCTACATAGGAGATGATCAATAAATATTTGTCCAATGAAAGAAAGGATATGGGGTAGGTTCCGCAATTAGAGAAAGATGACAAGACAAATACAGAACTTGCCTTCAAGGAGCTGACAGTGTGGTGAGACTGGTAGTCAGTTTGTGGTTAGTTTAGGTGGAGCTGAGATTATTGTGCAGTGCCACCCAACGGAAGTTTTGCAATGAAGAAAATGCTTGATATCTTTTCTGTATAATGTGGCATTGTGGCCATTGTGTATGTGAAATGTGGCTACTGTAAATAGAAAGGGAATTTTAAGTTTTAATTAATTTGCATTTAAGTAGGCACTATGGCTGGTGGCTACTGTACTGCACAGTCTAGGATTAGAGGCAGGGAGAGTGTTCGTGGGCTGGGCCCTGGCGCTGGCCTGAGGTGATAAGGCTGCAACAAGGCAAAAGAAGGAAGAACCTTGGGATGTGT